TGCCGCTGCCGCCGGGGGCCCCGGGTCACGTGTGCGTGCGTGCCCAAGATCCTGAGAGGAGAATGGAGAAGGGATTGCGGCGTGGCCATTCCCCCTGGGGGGGGGTGTCATTTCTCGCTTTCTGTCTCTCTCTCTGTCTTTCTGACGAGCGCACGTGCCCTATAGCGAAAACCTCTCAAAAAAAAAAAAAGTAAGTAAAAATAAATAATGACAATGTATGAAATTGAATAAAGTAATTCTATAAAGAAAATAAATGCAACCCCTCTGTCCTCAAGGTCATGTGGTGGCCCAGCAGTGAATTGCAGGGCCGGGAAGCAGACTCACAGGGGAAGAACACTGTTCTCACACAGAGACTTCCCGAGTACACGGGCTCCTGTGTGCCCCTGACCCGGGCTGGCTGATTCTGGGGGTGGATGGTGGCTCATGACACTGGTGGAAGTGTTGTATTTCTGTCTCTTTCTGTCTCTATCTCTCTCACTCATAAAATGAAGAAAATAAATTTTTAAAAAATTGCTATAGGGCACATGTGTTCACCAAAGAGAGAGAGAGAGAATGAGGAAGCACCCCCAGGGGGTATGGCCATGCTATAATCCTCTTTCATTTTCTCGGGATTTTGGGCACACATGCACATGTGCTAGGTGTGATTTTCAATCTGCCAGGTCGGGGACTCAAAGTGTGCTATCAGCCACATGGGATCCAGCTGCTTTAATCACCATGCCACTGACTGGCCCAAGAAATACATTTTTTAAAAAAATGTGTCCTCTTATTGATAGCTACCGTATTTAATTGAAAGCCAAGAAATACTGGAAAGATGAAGAATTAGGACTGCGAGTTTGAGGCCAGCCTGGGCAATAGAGAGAGATCCTTTCTCTAGGGGAGAAAAAGAAAAAAATATATGTATAAATCTCTTAAACTGGTGATCAAAACCTCAAAGATATAGCTTTGAAAAGATACAGTTGCTGGGCTGGTGGTTAAGGCACTGAATTACCCCCCTGCTGACCACGGTTTGAACCCTGAATCTGGCAGTTTAAAAATCATGCTAGATGTGTGTTGCGCACCGAAAATCCCAAAGGAGAATGGAGGAGAAGGGATTCCAGTGTGGCCATCCCCACCCCTCCTGGGGCGATTTCCCACTTTTCCTCTGTGTTGTGTGCAAAACAACAACAACAACAACAAAAAGATACAATTTAAGCAAGAGAGGACAAAAATGAGAAAAGGGAATGAGGCCTAGGAGAACAGATTTGGGAAACCTCAAAGTGCAAAAATGGTGTTTTTTCCAAATTGTTAGAAAAAGAAAAAAAAAAAAAAGTCTGTCCAATCTGTGAATGGCCTGCTTAGGGTTATTTTACATTTCTTTAAAACCACTGCCATTCTAAGTAAATAGCTGTTACAATGGTTACATCCAATATTTACCAAGAGAATATGTTTCCTGAGAATTTGACATTTCAATTAAGGTTGCAATGGCGCTGCCACCGCCTTTTCCAACACGATCAAATATATCACACTGGAAAACCGCGTAATCTTGTTTGGAAATCTTCCTCAGGCGCTTGCATCCTGTATGAGCTCTGCCACAGAACTTTAATACAAATCGTAAACTTAATTTAAGTCATTGGTATTAAAAAAGAAACTTCTGGTCCAGCACTTTGAATCTTTTGACTACTATTAACCCAGGAAGCCACACTTAGAAGTTGGCTGAGCATTTATCTCTCTGCCTCCAATTGTGGTCTCAACATGTACAGGGTGCCCGGGAAGCCTGGGAACAAAGGAAATATTCATGGTGTCCTCACAGACATCTCCAATCTGTAAAAGTTACAACGTCAGAGCGTCTAGTACACTAAAACAGAACAGAACAAAACAAAACGAGGTCAGATACAAAGAAATGAAATAACAGGATCTGTTTCCAGACTATCAGAATCCTCTACGTGAACTGGCCGGGTGTGTTAAGGCAGTTTTGTAGCTGGATGAAATGGGAACTTCAGGGCAGGAAGTGGTGCTTTTCTGATGCTGCTAATTACGGAATGTGGAACCCTTCCTTCTGAGTCAGCGTGGTGGTGTGTCCAAGTCTGCCCTACTTGCTGCTAACATGGTTATTGCATGAAACTTTAGAAATAAAACCAGAGTCTCCTGCCACTTAATATTGAGGAGCAAGAGTTGTTGTTGTTGGTGGCGGTGGTGGTGTGTGTGTGTTTTCAAAAGACTCCTAATCTTTCAGATGGCTCCTTGCAGCTGGTCTCTTTATCAGCCGATCATATTTACAGCGCAGGCTCGGATGGCATGGGGCTATCCCATTTACGACCTCACATTTGAAGGTACACAAGCTTATCATGGCATTCAGAGGATTCGCTAGAATTACACGGCAATAAAAGCACCTCGGAGGGGGAGTGAACTCTTCTTATTTTTAATTTCTTTTGGTAAAATACATGCTAATTTGCTTGATTTCAGAAGTAATACAGGTGCTTTATGGAAAGTCATTAGAGAAAAATAGGAAGTGAAAAAAAGGTCATACATATCCTATAATGGGAAAACAAACACTTAAATGTTTCTCGTTAAAATTTTGAAATGCATGCCAAAGCAGAGGGAAAAGTAAAAAATAGTCAGATGAACTCCTCAAACCTAACACCCAGTGTTGCAGTTTCACAATGTTAATCCCTTTGCTCCAAAACTCCTGGTTTCCCCCCCTTTGCTAAAATATTATGCATTCCAATACAGCATGTCACGTTTCTCCTGTATGAATGTGTCTTTCTCTTTCTCTTTCTGTCTCTCGACACACATACAATATGTATGGGCTGTAATGGCTCATTATCACAGCTAGTGAAATTAAAGTTGCGGGGTATCAGGCAATATGCAGTCCATATGAAAATTTCCATATTTGTATATACGCCGGCAGCCTGCCTCTTCGCTTACTAATTGAAAGATGTGCAGTTTTATTACAGCTATGATTTTGCATCATGTTTTTTTCCATGTACTACGATCACTATTTCCCCGAACTTTCTCATTTTAAAATAGCTCTGCAACAGCTTGGGGATAACTTGGATGATTAATCATTTTTTTTTTTTTTTAAATTTGGGTGTCCACATTACAGATGGAGAGGGAGAGAGAAAGAGAGCCAGCTTGTCTGTGTTTCTCCTCCTCCTATTAAATCTCCCTGCCATGAATACCTTTGTTCACACACCTCTTCCTCGATTAGGGCTGTTTCCTTAGGATTGACTCCAGGAGTGTTCTCAGGGCATCCGAATGTACTACATTTGTAAGGCCCTTGACTTGGCGGACTGAGTTGTTTACAAAGGGACTGTACCAATTTACACTTCCACTTACAAAGGATGAGAGAGCCTCTATTAAAATGTTTAAAGGCCGAGCTTTTCAGAGCTCTTATAAATCATTGGCTGAAAGAGGCTGGCTTACGTCTGTCCTATGGTCGCAGCCATCACAAAATAAGTAAATACACCTTTTCTGTAGCTATAAAAACACGGCATGCGCAGACTGCCAAACAACCACAAAGCGACTTTGATTAACCGAGGGAGGGAACCGGTCTACTTGTTGAAAACGTGGTCATGAGATAGTTTCCACCCAGCCGGGAGGAGCCGTTCTGGAGGGGGAGGGGAGCCTGCATCTTTTCACGCCTCCCTACCCATCCTGGAGAAGGTGCGGATGGGCAGGTCAGCTTTCTCTTCCTTTCCTTACGACTCTTTCTTTTCTTTCTTTCTTTTTCTTCTTTTAAGATGAGTATTTTATTTGTTTCCATATGGCTGAGTTGATGATGCAAAAAATAGGGTTGAAAGCGAGCGTTCAACTTCTGGTGCGGGAGTTCCTTGTGAGAGCAGACCCAGAGTGACCGCGAGGATTAGAGCAGAGCCATTTTAGCTGCAATCCAAATTCTACTTTGTTTCCTTGGGGACACACGGTTTTTATTTGTAGACTTCCAATAAAACAGCTTCAGAAACTGTTTATTTCTGTTCATAGTATTTCCTAGTTTAAGGGCTATAGTGTATTGGCTCTGAATCCTGATAGAAAATTCAACTGTATTGCTTTGGAGAAGTTTAAGTGATAGTTTGGGTTTTTGTTTTTTGGGGGGGTTTGTTTTTGTTTTTGTTTTCCGAAGCAGCGAGGAAAACAAACCTCATTATCTTGTGTTTATGTGGATGTGTGGGGGCAGACTGTGATAAGTAAATACTTAGCATGATGGTCTTTAAACTCCAGTCTCTAAATTTTTCTTTCTTTCTTTCTTTTTTGAAAGAGTTCAGGGAGGATGGTCCTCTTATGCTCATTTGCTTTCCACTGTTTTCATCCCACTCAGTGAGGACATGGTCATTCCTCAGAGCAAGTGGGAACACAACATAATCTCTTAAATTATTTTTAACAGGACATACTGGCTTTTCTTTGTAAAAATATGTCAACAAAATGTGCTAACCACATTAAAAAAAAAAAAAAAGTGGCCAAAGAGGCCAAAGGGATTACCCCACATTGAAGGCTGTTTTGGGGCAGGGAACCATCCAGAGATTCATGGTTAATGTCATTTTGGCTGGAGCGCGTGGGGTGATTGCCATGTGCCAGCCACGGGTTCGAGGCCTTTCTTAGTTCCTGTAACCCTGAGTCCGACCGCCCAGGCGCCGGGCGCCTTATGGTGCCATTTCACAGGTGAGGCAGGGAGGCTCAGCAGTAAGGCTGAGCAACAGGGTGAGGACTTGAATCCAGCCAGGCTCTGAGGGCCAGTTCCGGTCACCTCGGGTTTCTAGCACCCCTGCTGTTAGTGTTGGGCGCTGCAACGCCAAGTGGCGAGGCGGCGGTTCTGATCAGAGTCCGATCTCCATCTTGATCTCGGGTTAGTTTTCAGGACTTGGGTCTGGGCGCCTATCAAGGGTGTGGCCTAGACCTTAATCTCATCTCCAGGATTTCCTCCAATCCCAGGGTCCCGCCAGGGTGTGGACTGCGGGCATAATAACCCACGTGGGACTCGTCAATTTCATCTGCTTCCCTCTACCCTCTTCTGCTCTGCCTCTCAGGCCTCGCTTGACCTGCAGGTTGGAAAGGACGGCCCAGAACCTTGAAGACAGGTCATCTCCCACCTTCTGAGGATTGCCCACAGCAAGGTATAGTCTTCAGAAAATTTCATTTGCTGAGTCTACACTGGTGGCCTAACTCCTGATGGAGTGACTCAGCTCCTGGAGTAGACAAATCCCATCATTTCAGAATCACTCCTTCCCCTGCTTAAAACCCCCTCCTTCTCTTTTCCCAGGACCTGTACTGGTTGGAAAACTTGTGGGGAGTCAGAAAACTTGGTCTTTGGCAGGCGTCCGTGGTCTGGGTGATTGTCTTTATAATATTGTAATAGCATTTTTTTTTTTTTTTGGAGATATTTTTGCTATAGAACAAGTGCACCCTTCAGAGAGACAGAGAGAGAGAGAGAGAGGGGGAAAATGAGAATGCATTCCGCAGGGGGCATGGCCATGCCACAATCCCTTCTCCTCCACTCCTCTTTGGATTTTGGCCACACAGGCACATATGCCCGGTGTGAGTTTTAAGCCGCTAGATCCGGACTGTGGTGGACTATGTGGGAGTCCAGTGATGTAACCATTATGCCATCTGCTGGTCCCAATAGTATGCTTTTTTTAAAAAAAGAATTCTTTAATTTTATTTATCATTATTATTTAAATTTGACCAGAGAAAGAGACAGAAAGGGACAGTGAGAAAGCAAGCTGGCAGGTCTAGGACTTGAATCCCAGTCAGCCATATGAGAGTCCAGCGTCTTAACCACCACACCACCTGCTGGCCCCAGTAATAGCATGCTGTAATGCGTGCTCGGTGCCCATCCCCCAATGCATGTTGCGAGGCAGGATTTATTTATTCGCCTCAAATACATTTGTCAGTGGGTACTATCACCTCCATCTGTAACTTGGGGACAACGGAGGTAAGGAGAGTTGAAGTGAGATGGCATGAGTGGCACGGGTGGGTGGCCAAATCTTGTTTTGAACCCAGAGAGCCAGTTTCAGAGCTCAGACTTGGTTTCCAGTCCGATCCCGACTCTGCCTGGGTAACTGGAAATGGTACATAACATGCCGTCCCTATAATAAAATACCAGCCACCGCCATTATTAATTCTCTACTCTCTGAAGGCCTCAGCCATTAGGACAAGAAGGAATAGCAGGAGTCTTGGTGGGCTTTGGGATTAGATCGGAGCTAGAACATCACTTTATCTTGCAGAACTTCCGAGTATGAGAAGTTAGAAAGCCAGTTTACCTCTATGGCTTCCGTTCCCTCATCTGCAAAGGGATTTAAATGTACAAGTTACCAGAACTGTTGACACCATGAGAGAAATCAGATGTGGTGTCGAGAAGGGCCCATAGTAGAGGTTCAAGAAATTATTTTATCCTCCCCACTTGGTCCTCATCTGACTAGTACCGTTATATTGTGAAAATAACTTGCAAAGGGGTCAGCAGGTGGTGTAGTGGTTACGGTGCTGGACTCCCATGCAGTCAACCACGGTTCGAATCCCGGATCTGGCAGCTTGAAAATCACACTGGGCACATGGGTGTGCATGCCAAAAATCTCAAGAGGAGAAAGAAGGAGAGGGAATTCTGGTGTGGCCATCCCCCCAGGGCATCATTGCTTACTTTCCCTCTCACTGTCTCTGTTATGCGCATGTGCATTATGGCAAAAACCTTAAAATAATACATGAAGAAAAAATCTTGGGACCAGCAGGTGGCATGGTGGTTAAGGCACTGGACACTCCCACATGGCTGACCATGGTTCGAGTCCTGGACTTGGTGGCTTGCTTTCTCACTTCCTCTTTCTCTCTCTCTCTGTCAAATTAAAAATGAATGAATGAATAAAGATTAATAAATGATTATTTAAAAAAAAAAAAAGAAGAAAAAATCTTGAAAATAGATACCTTTAACTATTGCGCGATTTCCGCGAGGGAGACTGTCTGCTGCTATTTTAGGAGTGCTCTTGCTTTTATCAATGCTTCATAAGCTGCTTGATAATGAACCAGGTAGTCTGCACACACTGTTCCAGGGCTCTTAAACTCATTCAGAATGAAATCCGAAGTCTTTGCTTTGGCCACTTCACCTATTATCAGCTCACACCCTGTATTATTAGATGCTAACTCAGTGAGAACAGGCATTTTGATCTGTTTGTTTTCCTGTAGTATGCAGTAGGTACTTAATATGAAAGCCTTCATGGAAATACGCATTGTGAAAAACTCTGCATGGATTTCAAATGATTATTTTTTGCCTCAGGATAAATTCATAGTTTATTCCTTATTTCCATGAAGTTTTTGAAGTATGCTGTTTGTCGAGCGTCAGAACCTAGAGAGCACACTTACTGATCTACACAGAAGAGCCAAACACGGAACACTGCATGTAGGGAGCCCAGTGTCCCATGTGCAGGAAACTGGCCCTAGCTTCAGGTGGGAACACGAGGGTAGGCAGCCAGGGCGAGGCTTAATCTCGGGAACGCCGGGATGGAAGCCCTGAGCCCAGGAGAGAGGCCGACCAGGTGCATCTGGAGTGGACTGTGGGCTCTGGGCTGGCAGGACTGACTCCTGCTGGCAGCACGTGTCTGGGGAGACCAGTGTAAGTACAGACCGATTTATCAAATGCTTACCAAAAAGTCATATATAGAAATACTAGAGAATGTGTTTCTAATGTTTCGTTCCTCAAGAGTATTTAACAGAATGTGTAATTATATGTTTTTAAGTTATTTATCTTTAATTGAAAAATGATTGTATGTTTATGGCGGACGGTGTGATGTTTAATATGTGTATTCAGTAGTTCCCCCCATCTGTGGTTTGGCTTTTAAGCTTTCACTTACCCACAGTCAACTGTGGTCTGATGTTTTGAGAGACAGGGAGACATTACATTCACATGACTTTTATTTCAGCATATTGTCAGAGCTGTTTGTTTTATTATTAGCTATTGTTATTCATCTCTTACAGTGCCTACTTTATAAATTAAACTTTACCATCGGTGTGCTTGTAGAGGAGAAAACATAATATGTATACATAGGGTTGGGCATCTCCCCAGTTTCAGCCATTCACTGGGGGGTCTTGGGGTGTAACCCCTGAGGATAAGGCGGGGCTACTTATCTTGTGGAATGATTAACTCAAGCTAGCTAACTTACCCATCACAGTTATTTATTTTTTCTGTAGTGAGAACTTTTTTTTTAAAGAATTATTTACTTTATTTTATTTATTCATTCATTTTTTAAAAAAAATTTGACCAGAGAGAGACAAAAACAGCGAGAGGGAAAGTGAGAAAGCAAGCCACCAGGTCTGGGCCCTGAACCGTGGTCAGCCATGTGGGAATGTCCAGCGCCCTAACCACCACGCCATCTGCTGGCCTCAGAGAACTTTTTTAAAAAGCTTTTTGCTTTAGGATGTGTGTGTGTGCACCACAGGGAGAGAGAGGGAGAGAGAGAGAGAGACAGAGAGAGACAGAGAGAGACAGAGAGAGAGAGAGGGCAAGTGAGAAATCATCCTGCTATTGGGAACCAGCAGTTAGCGTAATGGCTATGTTGCTGGACTCCCACGTAGTCGACCGCGGTTCGTGTCCCGGACCCGGTGGCTTAAAACTCACGCCGGGCGCGTGTGCGTGCGTGCCCAAGATCCCGAGAGGAGAATGGAGGAGAAGGGATTGCGGCGTGACCATGCCCCCTGGGGGGTGATTTCTCGCTTTCTGTCTCTATGTCTCTCTGTCTGTCTGGCGAGCGCATGCGCCCTACAGTGAAAATCTCTCCAAAAAAAAAAAAAGAAATCATCCTGCTATGTACCTGGTGTGACTTTCAAGCCACTGGGGTAGGGAACTTGAACCACCATCAGCCACATGGGAATCCAGCACTTTAACTACTACAGCATCTGCTGGCCCCTGTAGTGAGAACATCTAAAATCTACTTAGTGGGGCCGTCCCGTGGCGGGGTGCTTGAGGTGTCTGGATCCCACATGATTGTGTGGTTGAGTCCTGGGTGGGTAGTTTGAAAACCACACCAGATGCATGTGTATGCGTGTCCAAAATCCCAAGAGGAGACTGGGGGAGGGTAGATTGCAGTGTGGTCATCCTCCCTGGGGGGTACTTTCTATCTCCCTGTCTCTCTCCAGTGAGTGCATGCTCCCTTAAAGCAAATTTTTAAAAAATCCACTTTCTTACTAGTTTTCAAATATGTTATTATAAATTGTAGCCATTAGGCTGTACAGTAGATCTCTAGACCTGCTCCTCCTGCCTACTGAAACTGCCTTTTGGGAGCCTCTCCCCACCCCCTCAACCTCGCCCTACCCTGGTGACTACCTCCTCTCTATTTCTGAGTAGAGCATCCTGAGATGTAAAGGAGATTATTCAGTATTTGTCTTTCTGTGCCTGTTTACTTTATGTAACTATATGAAGACAGACAATTTATTTTTATTATATAGGTAAAAATACGAATATCGGGAGAGTTTAAAGAGTCCAAGGGGAGGAAGAGTCCATAGAAAAACTGAATCAAAATATGAGTTTATTCTGGTACAAAACAATTTTGAAATCCATGCAGAATTTTTTCATAGTAGGCATGTTCCACGAACTTTTTGAAGGCCGACCCCTTGTATGTTTCACATAAAAATATTGTATAAACCATATATATGTATATTTGTGGAGTCCCATGTAGTCGACTGCATGCAGTACAAGTCCTAGACCCAGTGTCTTAAAACTCATGCCCTGTGCACGTTGGTTTGCACCCAAAATCCTGAGAGGAAAAAGGAGATGGGCCTGTGACATGGCCACCATCCCTGGGGGCTGATTTCTCGCTTTCTGTCTCTTTGTCTCTCTGTCTCTCCAGCAAGTGCACGCACCCTATAGCAACAATCTCTAAGAAAAGACTTTTTTTAAAAAAAGAATTATTTTATTTATTTATTTACTAAATTTGACTAAAGGGACAGAATGAGAGTTTAAGCCACCGGGTCCGGGACACGAACCACGGTCAACTACGTGGGAGTCCAGCAACATAGCCATTACGCTAACTGCTGGTCCCGAGGGACAGAATGAGAGTGAGAGAGAGAGAAAGTGAGGAAGCAAGGCACCAGTTTGGGGACTCGAACCATAGTTGGCCATGTGGGAGTCCGGCGT